ACAAGATTGTTATGTTCCCACCTTTATCTACAATTCGTTCTTGCTACAATGGCATATGTTCCTAGAGGTTTGCTTCTGGCTCATCTGTAGTAGGAAAAGTGAAGGGAGAATGTGAAAGGGGGGGCGGGGATGCAGGCCTCACCACCCCTATTCTTCACAAGTACAGAGTTCTTCTGCAATTGACCCCTATAAGGTACTAAAAGACTTAAGTGTTTATGGTCATCAAGACAAAACTTTGCTGGACTATAGAATCAGGCCCCAACTGAAAGGGATCTTTCCATGCTAAATAGAGAAGCTCATTTTAATTTTTTGTTTTTGTGTTAAAATGTCTTTATAGGCAGACAATCCACTTTAAATTTCTATATTTTGTTATGAAGGAAATTCCAGCCTCCCATTTGTACAATGTGTGCGTGAGTAAATAATGGAACTCCATGGGGACTGGAAAGGATGAAATTGAATGCATCCTATGAACAGGACTTGGGGTATTTCTGCCAATGCTTGTCTAGTGCCAAGGCTTTAGTAAGAGCTGTACCCCACCTCCACAAATGGTGACTGCATCTACTGGAGTTTTATAGCTTTTTAACTAACGGTAACACGCATTGGTCCTCTACCCTAGCTCCAAGTCCTTCCCTGTACTGACTTAAGTAGAAATAGCACAGGCCCCATCGTGGTATGTCTATGCTTATCCCATTGCACAACTACCCCATTGCTTAGCTGTGCAAGAGAATCTTTACTAGTGTTCCACTTCCTTGAGGGCTCTGTAGTCCCTACTTTAAACCTAAGAGCATTTTGCCATAGCTTTAATCATTCGCATCCCTCTTCTCTGACATTCCTTTCCCATCTAATTCTGCACTACCTTGGTCTCAGAGAAGATACAGCAAAGTTAGAGGTACTTAAGATAACTAGATACTTGAATTGGTGTTGTTAAACTCTACTTGTCTTCAAACTAATGTTTATTTCACAAGTGGTTAATACATAGAAACTAGAAAATGAGGGTACTTGATCAGTTTGCCAAGTATAATCTTTTCCAAACTTTTTTAAAGCTGTCTTCATGGGTAATAAATTAAATTAATGGAGATTGCCTATCTCCTAGAACTAGAAAGGACCTTGAAAGGTCATTGAGTCCAGTCCCCTGCCTTCACAGCAGGACCAAGTACCATCTCTGACAAATTTTTGCCCCAAATGGCCTACTGCAAAGATTGAACTCCCAACCCTGGGTTTAGTAGACTAATGCACAAGCCACTGAGCTAGCCCTCCCCCCAATTTCACATTAATGTGAAATGTCCACATGGGTCACCCTTCAATTACAGTAATTAACATTACAATTCCAGGGTCATAATGTCTTAGTGATCTTTGACAAACAGTCTGAAAAATATAAACAGATGGAAAGTGCAAATTAGTTTGGTTGAAATCTCTAGAAAAGTCAAGCCTTTTCCCCTAAACTCTATAGGCAGCAGCAATATATAGATGGACTCCTGGTGAGAAAATCCTTTAGAGTATGTGTACTATTATGTTACTCAGAATTAAATTCATAATTAGATCATTCATAATTTTATTGTATTGCATGGTTTATAATAATAAATGTGAGTTTCCCATCTTGTTAGCATTCTTATCCTTTAAATAGCCTAGGATAGTTTAGCAGACACAAGTTTTTATATGTAAGAAAATACATGATTTTTAATCAATTCTCTTTAGCCATTTTATTGTTACTTCGACTATGTGAGAAGCCAGAAAGAATTATTAGTGTTAAGAATGTAACATTATTTCACATAACAGAGACTGCTGTTGATAATTACTTACTTGTTCCTATTAAGAAAATAATCTACTATATATTTTAGAGAGTTTGTCTCTTTGATCAAGAACTCCTCCTAAACAGTAAGGGCTACCAAATTTGGCATATAGCTTCCTCTTATTGTATCTTAAAGCAACATAAGGATTTGGTTGTGACATGAAAATGGAATGTGCCTGGAATAGGTTAGCTTCTCATAAAACCAAACCGAAGAAAGACAGACTCACCAGATCAAGTATAGTCCTCAAACTTGATATAATTGAGCAAATGTTCAAAGAGACTGAACCAAGATGAGCCAGAAAAATAGAATGAACCTGCTAAAGGAATGCTTTTCAATAGATCTAATATCTACTTTCTTGTTAAAGATAGTAGATGAAATCTTGACCCTGCTGATGTTGGCAAAACTCCCAGTGAATCCTATGGCTCCAGGATTTTGCTCTATTTGGCTAGCTGGTCAGATTATAAGCAGTGGATCCAAAAGAAGTGCAAAGAGGTTGCAGGTAAATGGCAGACCAGCAGGTTAGGCAGTATTCAGGAGCATTATTAGTACGTTAAACTGCAAGCTCTTTGGGACAAGAACCATGTTTTTTTGCTTTGTACAGGGTTACACCTGGCGCTCTGAAGTGATACAATATTAGAAACAAATAATAATAGCTTGGATTTGTAAGTGATCTGATAGCAAACAGCAGAGAAAAACTATGTGAAAGCAAAGCTGCTCCCTTTAACATAGTACAATTTCAACAGCAATACATTCACGTACACGAAGAAATGTTCTTTCTTCATTGTATTCCTTTGTTATATATGGTCATGCCAATTCTCTTTCAGAACATGATCTGACGAAGTGGGTCTGCCCCACGAAAGTGCATCACCTAATAAACTATCTTGTTAGTCTTTAAAGTGCTACATATTTTTCCTTTTGTTTTACCAAGATCAGACAAACACGGCTACTTCTCAATTACTAAGAAATTGTAGTGAGTACTAGTAAAGTCTATATCAGCCAGTTAGTGTGCAGCATGTGGTGTGCTTCAGAATTTCACATCCCTTCAGAGTGCATTGCTATGCAGTGTAAGACGAGTTCACATTCAAACACAAGGTATAATATAATTTCACGTTGTTGGATAAAGTCAAACCCTAGCTGTGTCTGAACAAAGGAGAAACATAGTCTTTACATACAGTGATAGTACTAAAAAGCACATAGAAAGTGGGACAGGAAGTACAGAGATGGTGATTTGAGGTAATAAAGAAGCACAGATTTATAACATCACAATATTTTATTTTGCTACTATTTCTGGTTCCGCTCTTATTGAAATCTCATGTTCCTACTTTTCAGGCCTATTTGAATGTTAGATGCATCCAAGCTGCTCATTTTTTTTAATGGACACAACAATAAAAAAATATAGCACTAGATGAACAACCTCCTCTCCCTCACCACTATTTGTAAACATTTATCTTATCTCCCACATCACCTAAATCTATATTTAGTATTGAAAATTTGAGCTCACTTTTAAAGATGCTACTCAGTTATGGAGGGAGGGAAGAAAAAAGTTACAAGTTTAGTTACATGTAGCTAAATATGTTATACAAATACTATCAAATTGACTTGAAATAATATGCTTTTCTAGTAAAAGCCACACCACTTGTTTGCCAGAAGTTATACTATTATTACAGATAGATAAGTATTTATTACTATTATATAAAGAAAAGCAGGAATTGATTTACATCATATTTCCACAGCTGCTTAAATATCCATGTAATCAGAGATGTTCCTGAACCATAGCGTTCAGCTCCAAATATAAGTTCAGACTCCAACTTCCCATGAATTCAGAAGCATACAGATCAGGATTTTTGATCCGGACTCATCTATGCAAGTATCGCATCAGTAACTATGATCTATTGCTTAGGATCCAATCCTGAAAATAATCATGTAAGTCACTTCATTCACTGAGTGGCTGCATTGAATTTAATGGGGCTCCTTGACTAATCAAAGTTACTACTGTGCTAAGTGTTTGCTGAATCAGATCTAAAACAATCCTATCAAAAGTCCAGAACCCAGCCCCCAGAGGGCACCTTTGCACAGCCCTGACTATAAAGTTACTTTTACTAGATCCTCTTCTGGCATAGATCTGGCATTTGAGGCCTTCTCAGGAGAGGAGAAACAGTCATGAAAGGACACCACTGCACTCTAGTGCCACCTAGCTTGTGTAATGGCCACTTGGGAGCTGTTGCTTGTCAGCCTGAGTTAGAGCAGGTCAGTGTCTGCTCAATCTTATCTCCGAGGTCAAACAAGTGCGTAGTATCTTCAGGAGTCATGAGAGTGACAGGAGAGTATATACAGCTGTAACAGTATTTTAAACACATAATATACAGTTTTTGCATAATATAGGAAGTTATATTATCTTTTACTGCTGCCTCCTGAGAATAAAAATATCGAATGACATTATAGTAAGAACAAGAGCAAAAATATTGAGTAGTCTGCAATGAGACCAGTACAGCAAGATATTTTTGCTATCGGGTACAGTTTTCCTCAAACATTTACTATATTGGAGGGTTTTTTTAATTTTAAGCTACCTAAAAAATCAACATGTAGTCACCCTGCAGCAGAATCAGCATGTAATAGCTATCCACAAAGAGAAAAGAAAAGGAGCTATAGGGATATTTGAGCCTTTGATCTTAATATATTGGGTGATATACTGTAGAGTGTTAGATAAAGGTTGCAATACTGGTAGAATACATACCTCAGGCTGAAAGGGAAAAGGTTAACAAAATGGAAAGAAAGAGGAGAGAGAGAAATTTTGACAACAGTTGTTGTGGTAGGTGAAAATAGAAAGTGATGAAGAGGTTTTGGATCAAATATATAGTGTGTAAAATAGGTAGATATTCAAGGTATATTGGGCCTGGTTTGGATCTCAGTTGCACTGTTGTCACCAACTGAAATATTTTCCTTATTATAAAGTAGATTAAACCATGACATGTTAAATTGAATAAATTATTGTAACTGACAATCATGCATAATAATAATGTATTCATTGTAAACTTCATTGGATCAGACATGAGCATTTCAAGGCATTTCTTAATATATATATTTTTGCAAATGACAATTATTCTCACCCATCCAATTGTGTACCTCTGTTTTAGGAATAATGTGTGAATTTTATGTTATTGTAATAATATAGAAGGCAGCAAAACATTATTTCATAATTTTATTGGGTTTTGTTCAGTCTGAAGTTGATAGGTACAATGCCAGTAACTCTGATGATTGCATTGCAATTCTGTTGTCACTAAAAATTGTTACAATTTCTAACACCATGCCTTACACAAAAACTGCATGCAAATGACACGGTGCTTTATAGAAAATAAACAATTATTTTATTCATGAGTTATGCACAACTAGGTTTTTTTAGTTAAAGCAACTACAGAACCTGAGAAGCTTAAATATTGAGTAACACTCTCTCCATAGGCAAGTCAAAGTAAATGGCACTGCTAATCACAAGTATATTAGATGCACTCACCGATATTAATCACATAGAATTATAGAAAAATAAACATTTTCACATATGCACTTGAAACACAATGTAATCCAAATTCACAAAACATTTTAGCATGTAAATCTCATTGTATTCCTTCATAATAGTTTGAAATGATGATGCCAATACAATTTACACCCCAGATACAACACTAAGTGGTCAAATTCTCAATGGTGACTAAAACATCAGGAATTAAAAATAGTACAGCAAATATAATAGTGATAAACACTGGAAGTCAAGCTACTATATTATATTTAAGGATTTTTAGTGGGTCTAAGACATCTTCCATTTGAAGGTCAAATTCTGCCCTCAAATATGCATGCAAAGCTCCCATTAATTACATGTACAAGAAGTAGCATGGTTATATGAATGAATACTGGGGTTGGGAGTCAGAATCATCCAGATTCTAATCCTGGTTCTGTTGTTGATTAACTGTATGAGCAATTTGCTTCACCTCTCTGTGTCAGCTTGTCTGTGTATAAAATAGGAATAATGATTCTTATCTTCATTAGAAAGGAGTTAATGTTTGTATAACATCACACTGAACATGTAAGCTATTATATAAATGCTATATATTATTGGTGCTGGAACTTCCAGATACATTTCTGGGAATTGTGCCCACATGGGTACTCAGAACCCATGCTCATGAAATGAATGTCTAGAGAGAGAACTGCAGGTAGAATCCAGCAAAACTTTACTCAAGATAGAAAGTGGGCACTATAATGATTTTGACTAGGAATAACAAGTATTAATTACATTTTTGGAAAATGGGCAAGATGTTAGAAATCATTGCTTCCTTTGGGTACGAGGTACACACCAGACCAAATAAAACACGAAAGCAATATGGACAGAAAAAAAAAAGCCCCAGAAGCAGTGGGAGTAAGCCAAGCCAGGATGACATGTTTTCCTCTTCTTTTGTGCTGTGATCCAGAGGATCCCACTTTTGGAGTAGAAGATGAGTGAATAAAAGGAACAGCCAATTTATATTTCATGTGCCACTCAGAATCCATTGAGATGCAATGGGCAATAGGAACAGGAGTTAATGCTCTTCCCTGTAGTGTGCACTGTATCCTCCCCACAAAGAGGGAAACAGTACAAGTTCAACTGGAATGACCAGTAGCAAGACCACATCTCTTTAAGGCAGGAGTGGGCAATAAAATGATGGCGGTTCACCAGGGTTAACTAGCTGCCAGATGGAGGAGTGCTGGCCCTTGACAGATCTGCAGCCTACAGGTCCTGTGTCCCCTGCCTCCATTGTTTCTCCATCTTTTCTCATGAAGGAAGAATTCAGTGGCATCTTGGCGAAAGGAAAATCCTGAAGTTTCCCTACCATGGGTTTTAATGTTGGGAATGCTGTAATGCAATTATTAATGCTTATTATGTGTCCCATACAAAAACAATAACTGAATCCCAAATTCTGTCCTTAAATGTACATGAGAAGTTGTCCCTAAATTCAATGGGACCTACTCATGTTCATCCAGTGGCAGAACTTGACACTTGCTGTCTTTAAAATGTAATTTTAATTAGGCTACTAATGCATAAACTGGACTCAAAACTACTAGTTTAAAAAACAACAAATTTAAATAGATAATATATCAAGCTACTGAAATTTCTAAAGTGCCCACTGCCATACAGTAACTAGATTACAATTGCTTCATATTGTACTAGACATTATGCCTCCTGGGAGCACATGAGCATAAATGAGGTAGATTTGACCCTATCGACCTATAAAATGCAAATATACCATGAACAGTCACTTGTTTCTATACAGATCATTATAGCTCTGTTTAGATCAAATATCTATTTCTTTAAAGGGTTTTTTAATAAAAGTGTTTATCCTAAGAGCTTTTATGGATCTTTAAATAAATAATGTACATTTAGAAGATTACCAAGCAAAGATGCCAAGAGAAAATAGCTGGTTCAAGTCTGGTCAAGCACACTAAAAAGCAAAGTCAGTACTGTTAGGCAGCTTTTGTGTAAGGAGGTGATTGCCTGTGTCCAGGTCCTAGTGAAAAAGTCTATAAAGTCTACTATCACTAAATGGCCTCATTCTCAGCAGTGTCAGCAAGGTCTGAATGGAAATGAACACTATATACACCTCACAGGCTTAGAGGTGGTTTCTTTAGGTCAGTTTGGTGAGGCAAGTTTAGGGGATTTTCTCTATTGATGCTTGTGTTGTGAATAAATGGGGGATAGGGGACAGCTGTCCTCAAGGCCTGTCAGGACCTCAAGGCCTGTCAGACCTTTCACTAGTATTAAATTCATTTTAATAAGATTGAATACCAAACTGGTATTTACCAATATATCTGGTTAATTCCCAAAGGAGTTACACCACTTTGAGTAAGAAAACAATTTATTTCTGGTCCCACATCATCCAGCCCTGCCACCGTTCACCAGATCCTCCTCGGATGCTATTGCCCAACACACACCATGCTGTGATGCTGCAGGTAGAAAGTAGCCATGCTGGAGCACTGAGTTAGAGTCACTCTTATTATCCTGTGACTTGATTTTGCAGTGGTTCTATCTACTCTGAGGTACAGAATGTGTGCAAAACACTGTCATGTTGTAAAAAGTGTGAACTTAACATGAGATTTTTTTGGACCAGCTCCATGTTCCAGCTGCATTCAGTGGTAGCTGCGACATCTCAGTATGGTGCATGTTAGGGACTCACATCAGAATAGGATGGCAGTGTTGGTAGTTCTGAATGTCACAGGACCTGAAAGAAAGAAAACAGAGTACGTTTTAAGATTAAAATGTGATTAATACCTCTCCTAATTGCACCATGGAGACTTCTAGGACATAACTGATGTAAAGTTACTGGAAAGAGGTGTCTTGCCTCTGCAAATCATCTTTAAAAAATAATCTTGTTTACATAAAATATTACCACAATGGCCCATAATGAGTTATTGGGCCTGTCTGTTACATGAGTTTAGACAGACAAGATGATTAAAAAATGAACTTTCCACTGTTTTGTGGCCTGTATATGGGGAAGGCACAATAGCATTCCATGTTTGGGAACCAATATGCTGTAGGGAGAATGTTGTACCTCACAAAGTAGCAGAGTGGTGGACATTCTACCACTTAATGAGAGAGAACATTGGCTTCCTGAGTTTCCCATGGATTTGTGCAGATCCTTACTTCCCCTATATGTACCCCCTAATATTTTGTTGCTGCTGATTTTTTAGATTTAATATACATTAATGGAGAGCCAATATGGCTTAGCATAGCATCGATACACATTAAAAAACAACAACAGTGGGTTGATACTTTTATTTAAAAACGTATCTAAATAAAAAATTATGTAAATCTATTGAGCACATGTGTTTCATGTTTCAAAATTTTCTAATTGAAGGAAAAAAATAGATCATAAAACTGAAAAAATCCAACTTGGAATTTGAACCCTTAAAAACAGATATTCAAAGCACAGTCTACAAGTCCATTCTAACACTATCCTTAATTCATCTGCCAAGCCTATCAATGCATTTGTCAATTAAGTATGGTCTCAAAAGTGCAGTTACGCACCATGTACTGTTGGGTTGATTCTCCTTCTCTGGTAGCATAAAGGCGCCTTAGGCTTTGTTTACACTAGCTTTTTTGTCAGCAAAATTTTTGTCAGTTCAAAGTGTGAATAAACACACCCCAGATGACATAAATTTTGCAGAGAAAAGCATTGGTGTAGACAGAGCTATGTCAGAAGGAGCACTACCTCCCACCAGCACAGCTACATGGACACCTTACAACAGCACAGCTACATCTATACATCTGTGCCGTTGTAAGGTTTGTAGTGTAGACTTTGCCTTAGTGTTAACGAGAACCAAAGTCTATACATTTAATTATGTTGTGTCACAAAGAGTTTGTCTTGATTTTTTGCATTGCATCTACATTTTTTTTGATTTAGAGGATTATGTGAGATTTTGAGCATTGTTATAAAATGTTATGCTTGCTAAAGAGTAGCTTAAATTACATACAGACTGTACATCAACAGCAAATGGTAGTCCAAAATGTATTGCAGGGCTCTGTCTGAGAGTTTAATATAAAAGATGTTCAGTTAGAGTACAAGGTATTACAACAGTTCAAACATGCTGTTCTATTTTTCCATTAATGCCCAATTCTGAAAATATGAAAAATATAGAATTAAAAATGTTATTAAACAATACTTTATAATTGTACTTAGTATTGCAATAAATAAGTTAAATAAATAATTTGTGCAGACAAGTAGTTTTATATTTCTGAGTTATCAACCAATATCTAGAGCTATTCATTTTCTGCATGTACTCAGTCCTTGGAAATTAATAAAATGGAAATATTTTATTTTAATCTCTAGTATAAAGTTTTTTGGAAGTTATTAAAATCATTTACTTGATTACATACCACACCACTTTGTGCATCAAACTGAATAATACTTTGAGACATTTCCAACGATATCCATATGAAATAAGGCTATGTTCCCCACAATACTGCCTGTCCTCAAATCTTCACTGACTGCTGCGTTATAGAATGTATTATTTTGCCAAATTTTAGGTGACCCTTGTACACATTTGGGTGAGACAATTTATGAAGGTACCCACTCCTCAGCATGAAATTATTTGCAGTGGTTTACAACATTCTATTGATACAGTAATTCTTTATTCACAGTTAAAACATTAAATGTATCTTTTTTCCTGATTCCAACAAATATTGTTCTTTAACCTATTTTGATAAGAATTTGCCGGGGAAACAACTTGTGTTATCACAAGATGATAAGCTAGTGAAAAATGCTTGTACTAAATGAAGGTTAAGATAATTCAAATATCTCTGACTTTTATGTGGATAAAAATTAAAGTATTTTCAATAATAGAGTATGTTACCTGTAAGATAATTCATATCAGCTTCCAGCATCTGGTGCCAAGTGTGAGAGCTGCAACAAAGGACTGGCCAAGATTTGTAATCCTAAATAGCAGGTTTCTTCCAAATCTGTGAATTTGGTCCTGCTATTTGCCCCAAACCATTCTTGCAATCATTATTTAGGTCCATTGTTTGGTTCTTTCCACTGAGGATAGTGAGGGTTTTACTTCAGCAAGGACTGAAATATTGAATATTTAGATATGCAGGTCCATTTTTTTTCAGAAGTAAAGGCTCACCCGTACTCAGATTTGTAGGTGATATCTACATAAAATGTAGTGTGACTGTGCATGCCTTGGTAGCTGCTTGCATAAAAAGCTAGACATCCGTCTGTACGCAAACACCATATGAAATTCTGGGCCTTCTAAAATCAAAAGCATTGACATCAACAGGACCAAGATATCACTTTTAGTTTTCATATACAATAACAATAATTTGTGTGAATCATGATAGACATGGACCAGGAACTTATCCTTATAAGAATCAAGCCTTTAGTGAAGATACAATCAGAAAAGACACCACTAAGCTACCAAAATTGTATCACTTGCTCCAGAAATAGAAAATGCAGAAATCACAAGGTAACATTCAAGATTCCTGCATCATAGTCTTAATGTAAACAACTTTTAGTGTGAGTGTAAAAGAAGAGGCTATGGATGGAAGTATTTTTATTTTTCTTGGAGATTTATTTTTTAATCTGTTGTTATTAATGGAGAGAGAAAAGAATTAACAACTGCAGCACGTTTGAAGCTATATTTTTCCTCTATGGGATTTGCTTTGTTTCATTTTATCTGACACCAGTCAGAAAGATATACTGATGTGAACATAAAAAAAAAGATAAAAACAGAACTCTGATGTGCTTTTCCTCCCTTAAGATTTTTTGAAAAGCATTTACTTTGCTTAAATTCTCCCTGGACTCACAAAATGAGACACCCTTTCACCCCTCCAAAACAAGTTTGCCAGCTGGCTCACTAGATTTTTCCCAGTTGTGGCACTAGAGCATTCTACTACATTAAAAACAGAGGGGTTTGTTTTGTTTTGTAAATGCTTGCAAGTCTTTTGCATTCACAAACTTGTGTCTCCATTCAGTTTATACTCTGCTAAAATGTTAAGAGTTACTTCCTCACTTTTTGATTGTACATGGAGCTCGCTTCTTTTAGACACTTTTCTGGTTGCCCTGGAAAGTCTTCTTCTAAAGGTATCACCTGCCAAAAAATACAGAATAGGGTCTACACAGCTGTTGAGACTAGCTAAACCCCTTGTCACTTGGTAAGTAGCATACACTTTGTCATTGAAGGCACACATTTGTGGAGTCTGAAAATCCAGTCTGGCTCTTAGATTCAAGGTCTTCATCACATGAAAGGGAAGATAAGATACAGCAAAGACCATCAACACAATAATAACAAGGTAAATTGATTTTCTCCTAAGAGGAGAATTGTCCAAATCCTTATAAATCAAAGCTTTCACTATTAGCCCGTAACAACCAAGAATCAATATGAACGGGATGCAGAATATAAACACAGTGGTGCACATGCTATAAATGAAGTAACTTCTCAGATAATCATCAGTTGTTGTATCATAACATGTAATAGTTTTATTTTTCCTTATCCCAGTTCTAGAGTAGAACAAAATAGGAGAAATCCCAGCTACAACAATGACCCAAACAAGGGTACTGATGTAAACAGCATTCTTTTTCTTCAGTCTCCCAAGCGATTTCAAAGGATACACTACCCCTGTGTATCTGTGTACACTGATGCAAGTCAGAAACAAAATGCTGCCATATAGATTTACATGGAAGATGAACCTTTGCAGTTTGCACATGATATCTCCAAAAATCCAGTCAGTTTTATTGAAGTAATAAAAGATGAGGGCAGGGAGTGTCAAGACATACAAAAAATCAGCTAATGCCAGATTGAACATGTAAACTGAGATGCCACTCCATGGTCTCATGTGGAAGACAAACATCCAGATTGCCACACTATTACCTAGGAATCCAGTGATAAAGACCAGAATGTAGACAGTGGGCAGGTAATAGAACTGGAAGCCGGTTTTGGTTAGGGAACATTTGGTTGTGGCATTTCCCAGAGTCCAGCCAGTGTTTGACAGAATGTTGGTTTCAGTCCCATTCAAAACAGCTGAAAAGAGGACTTCAGTCATGATCTCTTCACTAAAGTCAGACAGGTCTGAGGGTAAAGCACCAATTTTCTTTGAGGGGACAAGAAAGCATCTAAAACAAAAAAGCAAATAAAGATCCAGTTGAAACTTCACTTTTTTTCTTTTATTCAAACATTGTCAGCTGAAGAATCCATATACACTTGTTCAATTGTATGTATCATTCAATTATTTTTCTCTCCACTGTTTAGTTCGGCATAGGGCATGAACTTTTGCCATTTAAATATTCATACCTGCCAAGGCATCCTCCCTTACCCCCAGCGAGGTCTGCTCCCATCTCTGCTGAAATGTAGCACATCCAGGTGGGCTTTTGGGAGTCAACAGGGTCCCCCTACAGATTCTTTCCCTCCTCCCTGCCATCAGGAGCTACAGTAGAGCAGGGGGTCTTCAGGGAGCCAGATCAACTCTCCTCTCCCACCCTGCTTACCCCCCTTGCTAAACCCCAGCTGACATCAATCTGGCAGGAGTACAGAGAACAGTGAGGGAAAGGAGAACTGGTAGTTTTGCCAGTGCTCCAGGGATCAGCATCCGTGGTTGATAGGGGGAATGGAAGAGGGGTGCACATTGCATTGGGAGTAGGAAGGGGCAGGTATGAAAGAGGAAAATGAAGCAGGTAAGAGCCACAGTAGGAAAAGGGGGCTGAAAAAGAACGGGAGGGGGGATCAGGAAGTAGCAGAAGAGGGTCTGACAGTGGCAAGGCTTGTGGGGCGAGATGGGAGGACGCAGGGGCTCCACACAAGAGGGAGGGAATAGGCTAGGGGCTGGGAGTGGCCCAGGAGGGGGACACAAGTTGAAGCAGCCTAATGGGGAGAAGGGCTGAAAGGGCAGGAAAAGGGGACGGCGACAGAAGCGGGCGCGACACCCCTCTTCCTGCCCAAAGCAGTGACTGATATTGGTCCCCGTGCAGGCCAGCCTGAGGGACTCCCCTCCCCCTGGCAGTCTCCGCTCTTCAGCCCTCCACCCCTGGCAGCAACCTTCCAGCCCCACGGGCCGCCCGGGTCCCCCCCCCCCGGCTTCCTCCCC